CCCTGGAGCCCAGGAGCTTGAAGTTGCAGTGAGCTACCTGCCTTTGGAGGACTTTTCAGGGTGAGCCCCAAAGCATACTGTTGGTGCCTCCACTCACCCATCTGGGGTCCACTCCTTCTTGTACTCTGCCTACAGGGCACAGCTCCACTCTCTGGCCAAGCCCCCAACCGCAGACAATGCTAAATTTTGCTCAATGGATTTACTAAAACATAGCGTGGCCTGGAGACACGACACAGGCACACAAGCACCTCTAATACAGAAAGAGGCAGGGAGAGGGAGCGTCTGGATCGCAGTGCTGGGGGGCAGGTGCTCCCCGGGTTTCCAGCGGCCCAGGGACCACCCGTTGGGCCGCTCCCTCCCGACCCGGCCCTCTTGGGGTGCCTGCCTCGGTCATGGGCTAGGTGGGGCTAGGTGGGCTAGGTGGTGGGGCTAGGCGGAGGTTGCGACAGCACTGACATCTGCACCTCTGAGGGCCAAGCAGGGGCCACCCAGCCCAAGCCAGATCCGCTATCAATGTGAATGAAATAGGAATATTCTCGGGTTCAGCCAGACAGGGCCCTGATTTCTGAACTTTTGCGCTTTTCCTGCAGAGGGGAAAGAGGCGTTCGGTCGCTCTGACTCGGGGCTTGGGTTGCGGCTGTCTCCCTTCTCCAGCACGGCCGCCCGCGTCCCCCCCAGGTCTGGCTAGCCCGGCGCTAACCCTGCGCTAACTCTGCCCTGCGGTCGCACCTCCGGGAGGCCGCGGCGCGGTTGCCTAGGTAACGCCAAGTGTCTCCACAAGGCTTCCTGGGCTCTGTAGTCCTCGGGCGGCCTCGCCTAGGCCAACCGCACCCGGCGAGACTACCACTCCCAGGAGCCCGCGCGGCGCTGCGGGGCGGAGCCTGGAGAGCCTGCCCAGCGGTGGGCGGGGCCTCCTCGAGTAACCGCGCGCCGGGCCTCGGGGGCGCAGAGAAAGATGGCGTCGCGGAAGGTGCTTCTTGGTGTGAGGGGGCTCCCGGTGCTGCTGCTGCTGCTGCTGCTGCTGCTGCTGTTCCTCGGGGCCCGGCCCGCAGCGAGCCATGGCGGCAAGTACTCGCGGGAGAAGAACCAGCCCGAGCCGCCCTTGAAGCGCGAGACTGGGGAGGAGTTCCGCATGGAGAAGCTGAACCAGCTGTGGGAGAAGGCCCGGCGGGTGAGCGGGGTCGGCCAAGCGGGGGTGGCCGAGAGGAGGCCCGGGGTGGAATCCCGCACTGACCGATGGTGCCAGTCCACGGCCCTTCGCTGGGGCTCTGGTCCTCGAGCCCTGCTTGTCGTTGTCACGGCATCCCCAAGTGTCAGGTGGCGCTCTGACCACCTGCGGCACGAGAGGGACCCAGTCACGAAGGTGATTTGCCCATAGCTGTGGAGACCCTGGTGCTGGCGCCCAGAGAGCTGTCCCGCGGCTCAGTGCCCCTGAAGGCTGAGATCCCGAAGGTTAAGCGTTGCCACTGCCGCGTCTGGTCCGGCAGCTGAACTGAGCCATTTCTCCAAAGTTAGAGGTTAGAGACCAAGCTAGATCTCAGGTCTCCTGCCTTCTGGGTCTTTACCTCTTCTATCACTTTATGTCTCCGTATGTGGGAACAAGAAGAACATGGTGATGCTCATGCAGGGACAACAGAAAGCCCAGTAGCAGACTATTCTTGTTAATTTGGGTGAGGGGCATGGGATCAGTTTAGAACACAAGACTTAGGGTATGTCCAAGGTCAGGCTACCAAGAGTATCTAATCTGGGCTCGGTGCCCGTGGCTCAAGCGGCCAAGGCGCCAGCCAC